ACCTTGTGAGTTGACGAAATGGAGTTAACTTTTATGCCAATTTTTGCAGGCCATCGAGGACAGGTTTCGCATATCAGCCAAGGAACTTCTGAAGTTTGAATTCCAAGCAGTGATAGCTCTTGAGTTTGATCTGCATGTCCCACAGTGGGAGGTGTTGCCTCATGTCAAGCGTATGGAGACAGAGTAACGACATTGATAGACAAACACTTATAGTGTTCAATAAATATTGAATGATCTCAAACGATGAAATTGTTTGATATCATTCAAGTAAAGAGTGGTTTACTTGCAAATGATACAAGTAAAGAGTTTTGTCTGAATAATGGTGGTTTTTGCAATGCTGAAAAGCCTTTTTATCAGGGTTTACATTGCTCTTGTAAATGCTGGAGTTTTAAAATTTTGTCACTTTTCCATGTTCTCGTATTTTGTGGCTACCTTGAAAATGCAAATAAAAATACTTCTTAAACTTTCCACAAATACTTAAAGGTCAGTTCCCCGCAAAGCACAATTCTTTTTAACTTTCACACCATCTGGGTTATGGAAAATGTACACTTGTAACCGGGAAAACTCCTGGACCTCCTGCAATCCCAACATCTCTGATTGGTTCAAACTCCGTTTTATATTGAAGCGATAGAGCACTTTTTCCGCGTTTACATAGCCTCATCTAAACACGAGGAGGGTTGGGAAATTCGAGACAGTTATGCAAACCCTCGGCTACGTCTCGGGTTTACATAACTTTCGAGAATTCTCCCAACCCTCCGAGTGTTTAGATGAGGCTATGTAATTACGGAAAAAGTGCTCTATTGCTTTTATAAAATAATTCTCAAAAATACGCGCGAATCTAAAACGTCACAACCGTGTTTACATACTCTCATCTAAACACACCTATCGACCAATGAGAGCGRGCGTAGTGGCTCAGTTATGTTATAATCATTGGTATGGTCTATATTGTAGCTGGTGGTCGGCTTATCTTTAAAGTGATTCTTTTGTTTGGTTTTGTTACCCATTTTGGATGTGGTGGTAAAGTTCCAGGGATTTGCCTAGTTCTCTAACCAGACTTCTTCCAAAGGTGTCATCACCTAAAAAGGTTGTTAATTTTTCAGATGACGAACTGCCATTAACTCATTTGCTGAAAATCTGAATAATACAAATAGCTTTCACCTGTGTTTTAATCCTAGAGCTGTTAGTGGCATGAGCAAATTGTGAACAGTTTGAAAGCCTCGTGTGAAAACGAAATATGTTATATTTTGTAAACCTGGAAAACTCCTTGAATCCCAACATCTTTAATTAATACCCACCCAGTTTTATATTCACTGGTCTGGTGTATATTGTAGCCTGGTGGTCGGCTTATCTTTAAAGTTATTCCTTTGTTCCGTTTTGTTACCTATCTTGGATGTGGTGGTACAGTTTGAGGGATTTGCTTAGTTCTCTAACCAGACAGTAAAGAGACGGGTACTGAAGAATTTAGGAAAACAAATTTACAGGGTTTTTTTCATCTGTTTCCTCCTCACTCTAACAAGAGATAAGCAACTTAGTTCTCTGAGTTGTGAAGAGCTTTTGAATTTCAGAAGTGCTAGGAAAACCTTCAAGGTCCAAGAAATTGTTCAAAAGGTATTGCAGTGTCCATACTTACTTTGATGGAAAGTAGTGTACGTTTTGGTTACGATCGTTTTGGTGAAGTTAACTTCTATTGAGTGACACTTGTTGTTGAGTCACCTTGTCAGTTTGATAACTAACATTTATTCCTTAGTTAGGATCCCTTTTACATGCTTTCAGTGATTTCTCGAAAGAAATGGTGCTGGATATCCATTTAAAATTGAAATAATGTAATCAATTCTCATTTTGAGTCCCTTGGACATGGTATAAATCTAAACAGGTCATGTTGTTTGCTGTCCTTTTACCAAGTATTTGTTATAGTAACTTTTTCGTAACACGCTTGAGATCAAATGAGCGCAACCTCGTTTACTTTTTTGACAATGCAATCGCCCTGACTTGTGGAGAAAAATGCATGAGGTTTATATATAGTGCAAAAATCATTTATAAATTTATAGTTGGGTTAAGGTTTATTCTGAAGTATGAAAGCCCTGTTTGTATAAGATTTTGTAAATTGAGTTTAAGAAATGTGAAGTTGACATATTGTAAATAATAGTTTATTTTGTAATTAAAACTGGTTGAACCTTGCGCTCCATGGCTTTACCAATCCTTCCAAGAATTGCTCCCAAATTCGAAAGAATCAATGCTGTCCGTTGCTTTTTTTTTCTGATATCTTGAGAAGACGCTTCGAACCCGTAATTTGTATTGAAAACACGCCTACTGAGCAAGGTTACGGTCAAAGATGCGCTCGCTCGCACCTCGGGTAATATATTGTGTGCACGGTTTTAACGACGCAACTGAGGAGACACGGTGTTGCGGCAGCGTTAGTTGCAAAAATTGTTTTCTGGGCATGAGGAAACGTCTTATACAGAATAAGCATTGAAAACATGTATTGTTCACCTCATAAACAATGGGATATAATTGCAAACGAGGGATAGCAAACGAGGGATATATGTAGTGAAAAGGATGTTTCCTAGTGTCATAACCCAAACCCCACGGGTTGAAGGGCGAGTTTAACAGAACTCAACACAAGGATATCGGCATTGCTCAGAAGCGCTCAGAACTAGAAAAGTTCAGTTCTTAAAACATCTGCACCCATAGTGCATAAGCTCAGGTTTTCTGTAACTAGTAGGGAAAAAGGTAATCGAAAAGTGAAAATGAAAATGCTAGTATTGGTAATTGAAGAGTTATTGTTTGTGGAATTCCCTTTACAAAAAGTAATGATTAATATATGTATATTAATTTTTTTTACCAAGTTTTAACTTCCCCTGCAGGTGCCTTCATTTGAAATCATTTCCTCATAGGATGAACTGTGATTATGATGAAAATGGGTGTAACTGTAATTGTAAATTGTCGAGGCTAAAAAGAATATACAAATTTGTCTAATTGCTGCAATAATAATTAACAAAAAACAATCTACCCTTTTCCGATTGCGACACGAGAAATTGTAGTTTTCCGTTGTCACGAGAGCTAAGTTTAAATGGGAATGTACAATCGGAAACCGTAAAAGGCTCAGAAAACGTTAGAGGACTTGTAGGTTAATTTCTAATACCAACCCAAATGCTAAACAATAGGTCCGCAATGCGTACTTGTGGGATTATACTTAGTTTTATTCCATTCGGTTGGAGTTTGTTTTTAAAAGTCAGTATCTGGGAGTTGAATTGCTTTAAGTGAGAGGGCAATCACTGCAAAGGTAAAAGTGTAACTTTGAAGCTGTCCAGAGACATTTCACTTGTGGTAGACGAGAATTCCCTAAGAAA